CATGCAAAACTGTCTCCTGGGCAAGGTTTGCTAGTTGAAAATGCATAAATAAATGGCTGCAGTAGAAACAGTTACATGGACATCTACTGAAGGACTATTTTCAAATTTTTATTGAACATTCCATTTACAAACACAAAATTCATTTTCATTGCAATTATTTTTGTCTCTGGCTATGGTTTTGGTGATATACTTATTGTTTCATTACTCTCTAAAGTGTGATAAGTTGCAACCTTATGTATTATATTTGATGGATAAACAACCTTAATTTGTTGGATCGATGATTTGATGTAGGTCTTCTTACTTTCACTAGGTAATAGAGAACTGGATCAGGGAGAATATTAAACTTTCAGTCAATACGGCTTCCAGTTAACTTGCAATTAACTTATTTCTGTTTGTATTTTTGTATCATTTCTAAAATGTTGCTACGTGGTATATGAAAATTGTATTGAATAATTAAGAGAGGAGTTCCCTTATGAACCTTCTTCTTTATTGTGTTATACTTGGCTCGTGTTTAGAATGAGGATGCACATACCCCTTGCTCGAAGAGGCTGGTTTGGAGAGTTGGGCTGTTGATGTTCTTGGGTGGGGTTTTTTTGATTTAGGTTTTTCCCTAATTGAAATCTGCTCTTTAACTAAGATAATTACAGATTTACTTTCCTGTTTTTTGATGTGCTTTATTTTGGTCCGCGTCTTTTGCTGTATCTTATTTTATTTCACTTTACTAAAGACTTCTCCAGTTTAATGCAGCATCAAAGTGACATCATTTTTGCCAGGTATTTTCATATATTCTTGTAGTCCTGTTCAATTGCATTTCATTTGTCTATCACTTGGCTTCATTCACCAACATATATCTTTCCGGCTAGTGGAGTATTATAATAGTGTCGGCGTTTGTTTTCCGTCAGAAAAAACGTTGGGGTATATTTTGCCAGGAGCTTTCTCGATGCCGACATAGGTCACATTTAATTCAAATGCCGAGTATTAGAATTGATGTCATTTATTTATTTATTTTTTTTGTCGGCACTTACTATTTCAAAATTTTTTGTAGTGACACACACACCAAAAAACATACACACTCACTAACGCACCCATGTACACACACCAGTGTTTAGTGTGTTTTAGTTAATGTTTTTAGTCATATTTTTGTGCTTTTTTTTTATGTGCATATTTTTATTTATTACTATGTTTATGTGTATTTTGGTGTATTAGAATGCGTGTATTTTGGTGTATGAATGTGTGTTTTTGTGTATTAGTGTGTGTGTTTGATGTACTGGTGTGTGTGTGGTGCATTAGTGTGTCTTTTGATGTATTAGTATGCGTATATGTGTTTTAGTGCATTTACATATTTGTGTGTTTTGGTGTGCTATAGTGCGCACGTGTGTGTGTTTTGGTGTACTATAGTGCATGCATGTGTGTTTTTGGTGTATTAATGTGTGATGTGTGAATTTTTTTATGTATTTGTGTGTTTTGGTGTATTTGCATATTTGTGTGTAATTTGATGTATTAGAGTGTGTGTTTGTTTTAATGTAATAATGTGTGTTTTTAGTGTATTATTGGATGTGTGTGTTGGTGTATTAGTGTGTGTGTGTGTGTGTATTATGGTTGTATTAGTGTGTGTGTGCAAGTGTGTTTTTGGCTTCTTAGTGTATGTGTATTTTTTTTTGTGTATTAGTGTGTGTATTTTTTTGTTGTATTAATGTGTGTTTTAGGGTATTGGTCTATGTATCTTTTGTGTGTTAGTGTGTGTTTGTGTTTTGGTGTATTAGTGTGTGTGTGTGTTTTGGTATATTAGTTTGTGTTTTGGTGTAGTGTGTGGCTGTATTCGTGTTTTGGAATATTAGTGTGTGATTGTTTTATTCTTAGCCTGGTGTTCTCTTAAATAGTCCTAAAACACCTTTTGAAGTTGCTCCACCCCTCTCTCTGAAAATGCAAGTCATTGAAATTTTTGTAGGCTTATGGTAAGTTTGTCACAAATTTTACTCGAATGCCATTTCACCCGATTATGAATGTATATTCTTCTGTGTGTAAATATGTCTGTCTTTGAGTTGTAGGTTATGATTTGTTTTGGGATCACTTGCTGCGTTTTATGTATTCATGATTCCATACACAAAGGTTGAAGAAAGCTTCAATGTTCTGGTACACATTTACTTTCTCTCACCAGTTCATATCTTTATAATTCATTTTCTTAAATTTTTCTTTGCTGCCAATCTGTGTTTTCTGTTGTGTTTAATTACGGACTGATTGTATCTTTGGGTTTACATTGTTTAAGTTCTCCAAAAACATTAAAAAAAGAAAGAAAAGAAAATATAACCCATTACGAAATTGAACTTATTGTTACTGTTTCAATGTCAAAGATGTGGAATTTGTTGTATGTTATCTTGACATACCAAAAGAGGGTAAGAAAATTGAACCAGTGTTTTATAAGTTAGTTTGTGAATTTGGTGTATTTATTCAGAATTGTATTGATCTTTTTTACTAATAGTGGTGGGTGTTAGGCAATCCACGATTGTGTACATCAGCACTATGACATAGAGAAGGTTTAAGTAGTTGTTTTTGAAATGGTTTTTGTTTTGTTTTGGATTAAAGTGGGCTTGGTAGTGGGCCTAATTTCTGTGTGCTGTATTTCATTATGTACTTCAGTATGATCATTTGGAGGTCAGAGAAGTTGTTCGTCACACTTCTATTGGTATGTTTTATTGTTTTTGTAGATTAATTTTTTTCTTCATTATATTTTGTTATAGTCTTCTCCAAGATCTTGGGTCTACCATTAATTGTGTTGCTAGATTATCAGTGTCCATTTTGAGAAAATAAAAACGTGTCAGGATACTAGTGGTTAAATTGATCACTTGATATATTGAACACAATGCATTGTTTTAATGATTTTTAACTGGCCTCCCATCAAGCTATATAGATTCTTGTAGGTGCCTTGGGTGTATCAACTTTGCATAGCCGATTATATTGACAATAAATTCTACACTTGCCAAAGTTTGAGTCTTTCTGCAGGTTAGTTCTCTATATACTTGCACATTTCTACTAATTGTCAATTTTTGTTATGTACGATGTTGTGCCATGTGTTACCCTAAACATTGAATTCATTTATTTATCATTTTCTTTCACTTATATTTTTTTGGTTATGGGGTTGTGACTTTGTTAGTGTTCATCCTTGTGTTTATTCTTTTTTCTTTTGTATGCTATGCAGTTTTGTGAATTTAAAAACTAAAGGCTTCTGCTAGGTGAATGTATCCCTTTCTTTTATCTCTTTTATCGAAGAGTATGTTTGACAATCATGCAAAAAGAGAGCTTATAAAGCCTTTCCAGTGAGCCTTTTGAAAGCCTTGTTCTCAATTTGCTATCGGTCTCTTGGGTGAGAACTTCATCCGTTTGAATTTAGTGTCGTAGTTTTTGATATCTCAGTTTTTATTTTTCATTATTTACATGGTTGCTGAGATTAAGTGGTCTTCTAGATTTAAGGAGGTCTCTTTCTCGGGTAAGCATTTGATTACCACTTCAGAAACTTTTTACTCCTCTTTAAGTGATTTTAGTTGGTTTAGGTTTTTTCTTTATTATTTCAATTTTTTTTCTCATTTTTTTTTGTGGTTGCCGACCATCCTTGAAAGACAGAAAGGATCACGGGTCAGATGAGTCGCGATAAACAAGAATAATGTCTCAAAGACTTGAATTTATTTTTCTTTTTCTTACTCATTTTTTATTCATAGATGGAGTTAGACATAGTGTAGGATGAAATATGCTGACATGATTTCCATTAGTGAAATTGTCAGGGGAGTTGGAAGACTAGAATCAACTGGCAATAGGGTATTGAAAAGGATATGGTCGCTTGTATATTAGCAGAATATATGGCCCCTGACAAAACTAAAGTAGTGAAAATAAAAGATTCACGCATGTGTGTGAATTTCTGCATTCATTGAAAATTTTGCAGTTTTAGGGTAATTTATCGCAAATTTCACTTGAATGCGATTCAAGTAATTTTCTCTACTCCAAAATAGGTATTTGTATTCTTTTATATGTATCAACATTTTTGACGAATTGGGAATTGTTTTTTAGTGGTAGGCCATGTTTTGCCTTTGGGATCAATTGCTTTGTCTTTTGTATTCATGGTACCGGTTACAAAGGTGAATGGTTGAAGAAGGTTCAATGTTCAGGTACACAGTCACTTTTTATCAACTGTGCGTTCCATTGTGTTTAATAACTGAAATATTGAATCTTTATTTTTACATTGTTCAAGTGCTGTAGAAAGTGGAAAAAAAGACCTACTACATTGCGGGACTAAGCTTATTGTTACAGTTCCAATTTGAAAAATTTGGAATCTCCTGTACTTCTCAGCAAACAAAAAGAGGGTATGAAAATTGAAGTTGGATTTTGAAGTTATTTTATGAATTAAAAATATTTATTCAAAAAGGTACTGATCTTTTATATTACTTTTGGTTTGTATTAGGTAATGCACGGTTCTTGATATCACCATGTAAATCCACTTGTCTTTATCTTCGATTTGTTTCTTGTCCTTTTTTTTTAATACAATCGTGTTTGGCCATCTTAACTTGACAAATTCACTATCAAACACAAGCGTGTTTCTTGAGGCGCCCATAGACCCTTATGTCAAATATGTTGATTGTGGAGTGTTGATTCGATGCAAAGAAGTGCTGAATTTGGTTTTAATGAATTTCTTAATCAAGGTTTTAGCATAACATTAGCTTTTTTATTCATCATTGAATGAAAAAAAAATTGAGTCATCCATTGGTTTGAGGGAATCAGTCTTTTGTTATATTTCATGATTCGAACCACAATCTTTTGTTACGTATTATTTTTATCATCACACAAGTATTGTGTATAAACTTAATTATATCAACTGAAGACGGTGAAATTGCAAGGTGCTATGAAGTNTGATTCGAACCACAATCTTTTGTTTCGTATTATTTTTATCATCACACAAGTATTGTGTATAAACTTAGGTATATCAACTAAAGACAGTGAAATTGCAAGGTGCTATGAACAGTGAGGTAAATTTTCTAGAATTTCTAGAATTCTTGTTTATTTTGATTTATAAGGCCAGAATGTAAGATATTTGATGGATTAACAACCTTTGATACACTGTAGGTTCTAGGAAGAAAAAATAATAAATAAAGTAATTGACGGAGAATTAAAGTCAGTCACCAATCACCATTTTTAGGACCTTTGGTTTAAGGCCAAACATAGAAAAAGGTTTGGGGTGGGTTAGAGGTGTGGTAAGTTAGAAACTTAAGAGTTTGGGTTTGAAATTGACTGTGGTGAGGTTGTGAATTGTAACTTGGTTATATAATTTCCGAGAAGGAGAAAAAAAATGATTCTAGGAAAACACGTAGAATCTTAAGCTTCATCCTTGCAATGATGAAGCAAACATCATGCCAACATTATCTCTTTATTTGAATAATTCCTTTTCGACATCTGGTCTTGAGGACATTTCCTGTTTTGTATGGTGTCATGTATTTTCTCAGTACACTGCCCATTAAACTCCATCACATCTGGCTTTGAGTTCTTATTTTGGGTTTAAATTTAATCTTACCTCATCTGATTTTGTAATGATAGGTCCTAATGAAGATGATATGATTTACTTTTTCTCATTAATCTTTTGAACATATTCTCCAGGACCTAATTTCCAGTGTTGGAATATTCAACAATGTGTAAGTTTTCATGATTATACGAAGTTTCTTGGTACGATATAGCAAACTTTCTTGGTTATAGAATGTTTATNTGATTCTAGGAAAACACGTAGAATCTTAAGCTTCATCCTTGCAATGATGAAGCAAACATCATGCCAACATTATCTCTTTATTTGAATAATTCCTTTTCGACATCTGGTCTTGAGGACATTTCCTGTTTTGTATGGTGTCATGTATTTTCTCAGTACACTGCCCATTAAACTCCATCACATCTGGCTTTGAGTTCTTATTTTGGGTTTAAATTTAATCTTACCTCATCTGATATTGTAATGATAGGTCCTAATGAAGATGATATAATTTACTTTTTCTCATTAATCTTTTGAACATATTCTCCAGGACCCAATTTCCAGTTTTGGAATATTCAACAATGTGTAAGTTTCCATGATTATATGAAGTTTCTTGGTACGATATAGCAAACTTTCTTGGTTATAGAACGTTTCTTGATATACGAGTATAGCAAAGCGATTTTTTTTTCCTGTTTTTGTTGGTATGATGCTATTGTTAACACGATAATTTTGTTTTCTCTACTAATTATCTGCATTAAATTTAGCATTCATGGCACGACTGATGTACATCTGATGCAGTGTGAATGTGGAAATCGATGACCCAGCACCCTCTCATAGGGAGGCTGCCACTGCTAGCATAGTAGCTGATGTTCACTATAAGACTTGCAACTGTCTCCTGGGTAAGGTATGTTAGTTGAAAATGCATAAACAAATGGCTGCAGTAGAAACAGTTACATGGACATCAAGTGAAGGACTCTTCTCGATTTTTTATTGAACATTCCGTTTACAAGCACAAAATTCATTTTCATTCCAATTATTTTTGTTTCTGGCTGTTGTTTTGGTGATATACCTATTGTCTCATTACTCTCTCAAGTGTGATAAGTTGCAGCCTTATGTATGATATTTGATGGATTAACAACCTTAATTTGTTGGATCCATGATTTGATGTAGGCCTTCTTACTGTCACTAGGTAATAGAGAAGTGGCCCTGGGCGAATATTAAACTCTTAGTCCATACTGCTCCCAGGTGTCTTGCAGTTAACTTATTTCTATTTGTATTTTCATATCAGCTCTAATATGTTGCTATGTGGTATATGAAATTTGTACTGAATAATTAAGAGAGGAGTTCCCTTATGAACCTTCTTCTTTATTATGTTGTACTTAGCTCTTGTTTAGAATGGGGATGCACATACCCCTTGCTGGAAGAGGCTGGTTTTGAGATTTGGGTTGTTGATGTTCTTGGATGGTGTTTCTCTGATTTAGGTTTTTCCCTAATTTTAATCTGCTCTTTAAATACGATAATTCCAGCTTTACTTTCCCCTTTTTCGATGTGCTTTATTTTGGTCCACGTCTTTTGTTGTTGTATCTCACTTTATTTCACTTTACTAAAGACTTCCCTAGTTTAATGCCGCATCAATGCAATATCATTTGTACCTGGTATTTTCATATATCTCTGTAGTCCTGTTCAATTGCATTTCATTTTTCTATCACTTGGCTTCATTCACAGTGGCAGGACTTCACTTTATGTTCCTTGTAGCTATATTAGTATTCAACCCTCACTGTTTGAATTTCTAAGTTGGATTATTTACATTTATATGACAGCTTTGGAAGTCTAACATAAGAAGGCCGATGATCCTAGTTGGACCAAGTCTTGGTGCTGCTGTTGCAATTGATTTTGCGTTNATCTTTTGAACATATTCTCCAGGACCCAATTTCCAGTTTTGGAATATTCAACAATGTGTAAGTTTCCATGATTATATGAAGTTTCTTGGTACGATATAGCAAACTTTCTTGGTTATAGAATGTTTCTTGATATACGAGTATAGCAAAGCGATTTTTTTTTCCTGTTTTTGTTGGTATGATGCTATTGTTAACAGGATAATTTTGTTTTCTCTACTAACTATCTGCGTTAAATTTAGCATTCATGGCACAACTGATGTACATCTGATGCAGTGTGAATGTGGAAATCGATGACCCAGCACCCTCTCATAGGGAGGCTGCCACTGCTAGCATAGTAGCTGATGTTCACTATAAGACTTGCAACTGTCTCCTGGGTAAGGTATGTTAGTTGAAAATGCATAAACAAATGGCTGCAGTAGAAACAGTTACATGGACATCAAGTGAAGGACTCTTCTCGATTTTTTATTGAACATTCCATTTACAAGCACAAAATTCATTTTCATTCCAATTATTTTTGTTTCTGGCTGTGGTTTTGGTGATATACCTATTGTCTCATTACTCTCTAAAGTGTGATAAGTTGCAGCCTTATGTATGATATTTGATGGATTAACATCCTTAATTTGTTGGATCCATGATTTGATGAAGGCCTTCTTACTGTCACTAGGTAATAGAGAAGTGGCCCCGGGCGAATATTAAACTCTTAGTCAATACTGCTCCCAGGTATCTTGCAGTTAACTTATTTCTATTTGTATTTTCATATCAGCTCTAATATATTGCTATGTGGTATATGAAATTTGTACTGAATAATTAAGAGAGGAGTTCCCTTATGAATCTTCTTCTTTATTCTNTATTATGTTTTTGAATTTAAGGTTTTATGTGGATAAATTGTGTAGAGTTTAACTTTCTGGAATTGCATAAAGTTTATGTGAATTGACAAACTATAGTCAATGTGGATTGTATGATTCAATTTCACAGATTTTATTTGGAAAGTAAACAAATAAAATAAAATATAAAAATGGCTTAAACGCAAATACAGTGTGGGCATAGTGAGGGCTCTTTGCTGGCGTTTATTTAAATGCCAGCATATATCTTTCTGGCCACCGGAGTCCAGCAAAANCTTTTTCGATGTGCTTTATTTTGGTCCACGTCTTTTGTTGTTGTATCTCACTTTATCTCACTTTACTAAAGACTTCCCTAGTTTAATGCAGCATCAATGCGATATCATTTGTACCAGGTATTTTCATATATCTCTGTAGTCCTGTTCAATTGCATTTCATTTNAGTGTCGGCATTTGTTTTCCATTAGAAAAAGAATTAGGGTACATTACTCAAACACCGAGTATTAGAATTGCCATTATTTATTTTGTTTTTGCCAGTGTTTACTATTTCAATTTTTTTTTGTAGTGACAAATATAATAACACACGCACACATTAATGCACCCACACACACACACTAGTGTTTAGTGTGTATTAGTTTGTGTTTTTAGTTATATTTTCGTATTTTTTTGTGTATTTGTTTATCTATTATTATGTATCTCTGTGTTTCGGTTTTTTAGTGTGTTGAATTTTTTGGTGTATTAGTGCGCGTATGTGTTTGGTGTACTAGTGTGTGTGGTGCATTAGTGCGTGTGTTTTGATGTATTAGTATGTGTGTTTTCATGCATTTACATATTTGTGTGTTTTGGTGTATTATAGTGCGTGTGTGTGTTTTGGTGTGTTAATGTGTGATGTGTGTATTTTTGATGCATTAGTGTGTTTTGATGTATTTGCATATTTGTGTTTATTTGTGTGTGCTTTGGTGTTTTGGAGTGTGTGTTTGTTTTATTGTAATAATGTGTGTTTTTAGTGTATTATTGGATGTGTGTTGGTGTATTAGTTTGTGGGTGTGTGTGTATTATAGTTGTATTAGTGTATGTGTGCATGTGTGTTTTGACATATTAGTGTGTGTATTTTTTTTGGTGTATTAAGTGTATTTTTTTGGAGTATCAATGTGTGTTTTTTGGGGTATTGATCTATGCATCTTTTGTGTGTTGGTGTATGTTTGTGTTTTGGTGTATTAATGTGTGGTTGTGTGCGTGTTTTGGAATATTAGTTTATGTGTGTGTGATCGTTTTATTTTTAGGCTGGTATTTTCTTAAATAGTCTTAAGACACCTTCTGAAGTTGTCTCTCTCTCTCTCTCTGAAAATGGAAGTTATTGGAATTTTTGTAGCCTTATGGTAAGTTTGTCACAAATTTCACTCGAATGCCATTTCACCCGAATAGGAATGTATATTCCCATGTGTGTCAATATGCCTGATGATTTGTAATGGTCTTTGAGCTGTAGGTTATGATTTATTTTTGGGATCAATTGTTGTGTTTTATGTATTCATGGTTCCATACACAAAGGTTGGAAAGCTTCAATGTTCTGGTAGACATTCACTTTCTCTCAACAGCTCTACAACAACCCTGTCATGCCCCAAATTCACATCATTTGATATGTTTGCTTGAATGATAAACCTTTTGCTTCACCTAGCTAGATTAATTGCCACCAACGTTCAACAAAGAGAAGGACAATTATCAATGCTTTGGTGTGTACGTGGCTCATGTAAGACTTGATATTAACTACTGATTGAATTAAAAGGCCTCCTAGATTTGTGTGCATTACATAAGAGAGCCATAGAAAGACTTCCGTGTTCATTACTTAAAGAGAGCCGGAAAGACTCTAGTTCTTTCTTGGTTAATTATCTTATTGCTTATGCTTTGTGGGAAAACCTTTTTGCTTTGACCGAGTTAAGTTGGCCTGCTTCACAAGATATAAATTATATGCATGGAATGGGTATCACATGCTGGATATTTAGTATTATCAAATGTAATTGGAATCTTCTTTTGTAGATTTAAGGAGGTCTCTTTCTCGGTTAAACATTTGATTACCACCTCAAAAAATTTTTACTCCTCTTTAAATGATTTCGGTTGGTTTAGGTTTTCTCTTTGCTATTTCAATTCTTTTCTCATTCTTTCTTGTGGTTTAGGAGAGATATCAGACCCCTTGAGATGTTACCATTTGCCATCTTGTTTTATTCTTGATATTATTATTTTAGTTCAAGAATGAGAATCTTGCCGTACTTATTTCTGTATTTTGATATCCCTAAGTATTTTTATGGATAGAATTACTGATGCGAAGTCACGTTTTATTTGAGAAGATTAGAAATAAGTTTGGCAATCAAGGTTCAATTTCACATGCTGTTCTACTGCACACATCCTCTTCCCAATATACCGACATTCGGATTAGGTAATTATTTCTGGCAGTTTAACTCTGGAAATACTATCTACAAATGCTTGTTGACCTTTTATTCCAAATGTAGCTGGTATTTATTATGGCTTCTATGAAAAATACCATGTCTTTTGTACGAGATGCTATTCCATTACCCTTATACAGAATTCCTTTTGCTTCACGCACTAATTTTTTCTTCATGTTAGTTCACTCATGGATTTCAGTACCATGAGGATGAGGAAAGTGTTTTTTGCTTAAAAGCATGTCATAACGCTCACTATGGATTTCTATTACGTCGCATTTTCATTGTGCTACTTGGGATTGAACTGTGGATCCTTATTGTTTTGAGTCATAGCGGTTCTTTTTGGATGAATATGTAGATTGACAATTCTTTGTGTTTATTTTGGTTGACGGCTTGATGGATAATACAAATAACATGGTCGGGTGGTGATTGATAAATTGCATTTGCCAACTAATGGGCCACTTTGGCTGCTTATTGTTGATTCTATGAATTTGGTTTGCTGAAACGGTAGTGGCTGAAGCTACATTATGAAAACCCTTTTTATCTTTCTTTTTCTTACTCGTTTTTTATTCATCGATGGAGTTAGGTATAGTGAAGGGTGAAATATGCTGACATGATTTCCATTAGTGAAATAGAGGAGTTGTAGGACTAGAATTAACTGGCAATGAGGCATTGAAAAAGAATATGGTCACTTGTATTTTAGCATAATAAATGGCCCCTGACAAAACTAAAGTGGTGAAAATAAAAGATTCATGCATGTGTGTATTTCTGCATTCATTGAAATTTTTGCAGCTTTAGGGCAAGTTATCGCAAATTTCACTTGAATGCCATTGGAGTAATTCTATCTTGTATTCTTATATGTGGTAGGTTATGTTTTGCTTTTGGGATCAATTGCTTCGTCTTATGTATTCATGGTACCGCATACAAAAGGTTGAAGAAAGCTTCAATGTTCACGTACACAGTCACTTTTTATCTCACCAGTCAAATCTTTAGATTTTCTTTTTCTTGGAATTTTCTTGGTAACCAAAATGTGCATTCCATTGTGCTTAGTAATTGAAACATTGAATCTTTGTTTTTACATTGTTCAAGTGCTCCAAAAAGCAGGAAAAAAAACGCCTATTACATTGTGGGACTGAGCTTATTGTTAAAGTTCCAATTTGAAAAATTGAGATTCTCTTGTACGTCCGGGCAAACAAAATGAGGGTATGAAAATTGAAGTTGGGTTTTGAAGTTATTTTATGAATGAGAAATATTTATTCAAAAGGTACTGATCTTTTCTATTACTTTGGGTTTGTATTGGGTACTTTATATCATCACGTAAATCCACTTGTCTCTTACTTCGATTTGTTTTGGATTAAAGTTTTTTTGATACTGGGCCTAATTTCTTTGTGTGACATTTGGAGTTCCTGGAGTTGTTCCTCCCATTTTCATTGGCATGTTTTATTGTTTTGGTAGTTTTATTTTGGTTTTCATTATATTTTGTTATAGTCTTTCTCTATGATCTTAGGATCTAGCACTAATTATATCTCTAGATTATCTGTGTCCATTTTGAGATACTGAAAACATGTGTCAGGACTCTAGGAATTAAATAGATCAGTGGATGTAATCATCATAATGCATTGTTTCAATTAGGTTTTGCTGACTTCCAATTAAGCTATTTAAATTCTT